GTTTAAAATTATTTGTTTATTTATATATTTTCTATATACCTATCTGCTCCTCTTGACTCACTGAGAGGAGGAACTCTTTCAGTTTGTTTACAAAATTGATGCTCAGTAAAATGAATACATAGAAAGGATGAAGTATGTTACCTCCATGGAGTAATTTCTCCCTCTTGTGGAACGTTAGAATATAGTTATTTAACTTCCATTTTTGTGGTAATAATTTGCCTTCAAGTGAATTCAGACTCTGTAACCTGACATCACCTAAGAACAGAACTGGGCTGCATCAGGTCACCAGTGATACGAGGAGCCATGGTGACAGGGAGATAAGTGGTAGGCTGCTAACTAAATGGTTCATGGTTTAAATTTATCAGCTGCTCTGGAGAAGACTGTCTGCTTTCATAAAGGCTACAATGGACCAGCTTTACAGTGTCATAGAAGATCTTTGTGAATCAGAATAGATGAAATGGACTTGTTTTTTGTTTACTCTTATAGAAATAGATCACAAGTTCTTTCTTCTGCCAGGTCTCTCTTCCAAGGAGCCTTTGTGTGGATTCCAACGAATAGCCTTTCACTCAACATTGTTAGGTGCTGTCAATTTGAATCTAACTCATAGTGACCCTATTTACAACAGAATAAAACTCTGCCTCTTTTTGCACCATTAAAAAAAAAGCTAAGGCTGACTCAAGCCACAGTATTTATAATTGTTTTTTATGCATGTGTAACATGGACAACGAATAATAAGTAAGACTGAAGATCAATTGATACCTTTGAATTTTGGTATTGACAAAGAATATTGGATATACCCAAAATGGCAAAAGAACCAATACATTTATTATTGTGGATGAAGTGCAGTCAAGATGTTCGTTAAAGGCGCAAATGTGGAGGGTTGGCAAAAGAGAGAAAGATCCTCAACCAGATGGATTGATACAATTACTGCTGCAACAGGGTTAAAATATGTCAGAAATAATGAAGATTGTACAAAGAATATTGGATATACCCAAACTGGCAAAAGAACTAATAAAGGACAGTGTAAGAGAAGGAAAGAAGGATCATTGTTCGTATAATGCATGACATATCTGGTGGCTAACTGAAGGTTAGATTTTGGAATCACCAGCCCATCTGAGGAAGAAATATTTACAACCTGAAAACTGACTGAGAGTTGCTATGAGTTGTAATTAACTAAGCAGCCATTGTTTCATTCTTTCTTCTTTATATGTATTACACAAACTGATTCAAGGATAAATAGAAAAATTGATTGGTTATAACCAATATAGAAATTATAGTGCATTATAATGAATTATATTCTATTGTTATATATACTATGCATCAGAGAGTTATACAATGTCTGAAGATGACAAAAGAAGAATTGATACCTTTCAGTGCTGGAGAAGAGTAATGAACATACCATGGACTACCAAGAAAACAAACAGGTCTCTCCTAGAGAGGGTGAAACCAAAAGGCAAGGATTTTGAAGCTCTGTCTCACATATTTTGGGCATGTGTCCAGGAGGCACCAGTCCCTGGAGAAGGACATTACATATTTTTATTTTATTTTATTTTAAAAAAAATTTTTTTTAACAGAGGTTTTGGATTTCCATTCATTCATTGCCGCAATTTTCTCCCTTCCCACCCCTCCCCACCAGCTTGCTTCCCCCTCCAAAGAGAGAAAAAAAAAAGAAAAAAATTCCTTCATTAATATATAATTCCCACGTCCCTTCCCCCCACTCCTCACCCCTAGTACACTTCTCTATGCAACCTTAATTCTGGATTCCTGTGCTAACCATAATACTCGATCATATATAACTTCTAATCTGTTCTTTCCCTCATCTGTTTCAATATACATAATTTATCCAGTTTTTTTTTCTGACATACCTCCACCCTAATGTCAGACCCATTCTACAACAGTGGCACCATGCAGTATTTTTCCCTTTGTGACTGAGATATTTCACTCAGCATAATGTCCTCCAGGGTCACCCACTTTGAATAATATTGCATGAGTTCCTTGTTTTTCAATGCTGCGTAGTATAGTATTCCATTGTGTGGATATACCACAGCTTCTCTATCCATTCGTTTGTTGATGGGCCCTCAGGTTGCTTCCAACTCTTTGCTATTGTAAACAAAGCTGCAATAAACATGGGTGTGGACATCACATATTTTGTGAATGTGGCCAGGAGGCATCAGTCCTTGGAGAAGGAGTGAAGGGACAGTACAGGAAAGGAAGACTCTGGATTAAATGGATTGAATTAGTAACTAGGGTAATGAAGGTAGGTGTGTTGGAAACAGTGAGACTGGCTCAAGATAGGGCAGTGTTCAGAGCTGTTGATGCAGGGTCGCTATGAGTTACAAGTGACTTGATGGCACATAACAAACAACAACTATATATAATTAATAAGAAGACTGGAATCATGATAATTAGTTACTGGAATGCAAAAGTTGGAAACAAAGAAAAGGTACTATTAGTAGGATATTACAGACTTGGTGACATAAATGAGGCTGGCGATTGAATGACTGAATTTTGCACAATCAATGATTTAAACATTGCAAATATTTTTAAAAAAAATCACAAGCAGCAACTGCCCACATGGACTTAACGTAATGAACTACACAGGAATTATATTGATTACACCCATGGAAAGAATCATTGGAGAAAGACTAAGGAGTCAAAACCAGGCCAAATGCTGACTGTGAAATAGACTATCAATATGCAAATTCAAGTTGAAGCTGAAGAAAATGAAAACAAGTCCACAAAAATAAAAATGAGATCATGAGTCTACCCCACTTGAATTTAAAAACTATCTCAAGAATAGCTTTGAGGCACTGATTACCAATGATAAAAAAACCTAGATGAGCCAGGGGATGACATCAAGGATATTATCCATGAAGAAAGCAAACAGTCATACAAAGATAGGAGAGAAACAAAAAGTCAAAATAGATGTTGGAAGACTAAAATAGATATTGAAAGAGATTTTGAAAATTGCACGAGAATGTTAAGTCAAAACAAAAGGAAGACTTGTCAAAGTCAAAGAGTTAAGATTTCAAAGGGTAGTGTCAGAAAACAAAGTATAAAGAAGACAAAGTAAAGTCCTATAAAAGAATGTATAAAGAGCTGGAGTTGGAAAACAAAAAGGAACTCATTGAACATTTTCAAGATGAAAGACCTGAAAAACAAATTTAAACCTTATGTTGCAATACTGAAGGATGCCATGGGTAAAATACAGAATGATCCAGGAAGCATCTAAAGAATATGGAAGGAATACACAGAGTCACTATACCAGAAAGAATTGGTAGACACAGAATCATTTCAAAAAGTAGCATATGATCAAGAACTAATGGTAATGAAAGAAGTTCAAACTGCACTGAAGTCATTAGTAAAAATAAGGCCCCAGGAATTGAAGGGATGCCAATAGACATATTTCAACAAACAGATGCAGCCCTGATGCGATTAACAAGCCATGCTAGGAAATTTGGAGGACAGCTACCTTGCCAACCAACTGGAAGAGATCCATTTTTGTTCCCATTCTCACGCCCCCCTCCACACACAACGTCATTCAACAGAATGTGGAAATTATCAAGCAATATCATTAATCTCATATGAAACTATAATCTTGTTGAAGATCATTAAAAAAGAACATCTGAAATAGTACATTGGCAAAGAACTGCCAGAGATTCAGGCTGGATTTAGAAGAAGTTGTGGCACCAGGAATATCATTGCTAATGAATATCTTGGCTAAAAGCAAAGAATACTAGAAGGGTATCTATCTATACTTTGTTGATTTTGAAAGGCATTTGACTATTCAGATCATAACAAATTATCACTGACATTGAGAAGAATGGGAATCCAGAGCACTTAATTGTGCTCATGTGAAACCTATACCTAGACAAAGAAGCTGTGGTATGAACAAAACAAGGGAACATTGCATGGTTTAAAATCGAGAAAGGTGTACATCATGGCTACATCCTTTCTTCATACTTGTTCACTTTGTATGCTGAGTAAATCACTTGAGACGCTAGACTATAAGAAAAAGAATGTAGCATCATGATTGGAGGAAGACTCAGCAACCCACCTTACGCAGCTGACATAACCTTGTTGAATTTGAGAAGGACTTGAAACAGTGCAGAGGATCATAGCCTTCAATGTGGGTTATATCTTAACATTAAAAAAAAAAATAATCCTCACCACCTGATAAATAAGCAACAGATGGAGAAGAGAGAGAAATTGTCCACGTCTTCATCTTTGAGGCATGGATAGTGAAACTTCGTCTGACACACTTAGGCATATTGTTAGGACGTGCCAGTCCTTGGAAAAGGACATCATACTTGGAAAGATGAATTGACACAGTGATTGTAACGGTGGGTTCACGTGTGTCGGAGATGGGGCGGATGAGAGAGATAGGGCTGGCTGCAGATCCACTGCTCATAAGGTCACTATGAGTAGTAGTCGACTAGACAGCACTTTAACAACTGTAGAAATTAAATCAATACTTAAAATTCATTCATTAAAAGAGAATGGGAAAGAGAAAGGAAAACATTATCAGAGTATTTGCCTAAGGGAGTTCGAACCAAATTTTCTGACAGCTGGTTCTAGAGAATCCACTAAGAAAACGACCAAGCTCTTTTTACTGCGTGCCTTGTGTTTAAATTAGAAATAATCAGGAAGAGAAAGAGGGAGATTTTTTTCAGGCCACATTATGAAAGCGGATTATAAATGCCGATCTTGGGTTCTCATTTAACATCGCTCCAAATCTGGTCATTTACGCTAATTGTTCGAGCAAACCCCACTCTACCCCTCGAGTCTCTCTTTCCCACGACTCGATGGTTGTCACGTCGCTCTCTCCAGCACGCCGCTCTCTACAGTGCGTACTCTATGGTTCCGGGCGGGGCTGCGAGCCCTGCGTTTGAAAGCCGTGGCGGGAACATGGCAGCCTCAGTTGTCAACCGATTTGGTTTCTCTCGAGCTGGAGGGAGTTGGAATTGTGGTCTGTCCTAAACAGACGAGAAGAGTTCGCGATGAACCTTCCCCGCCGGAGTGGGAAACGGCGGCGGTCTGCATCAGACTCGGATTCTTTCTTGGAAAGCAGCTATGACAATGGCAATGATGGCAATGACAGCCGCCAGGGCCTCTCGGGTTCTGTGCTGAGCCCGCCCCCGGGCCTGGGTCGCAATTTGAAAGATCACAGAGGTCAGTTGACAGCTACTGCATGTATTCTCAGGAATCCTGGGGACTGTAGTGTGGGGTGGACAGCTGCACCGTGCTATTTGACCGAAGGTGCCTGGGGGTTCTTCCTTTCGTGGAGGTTTTTGCAAGATCGACTCGGCAACTGTAACTCCGATCGGCTGTACCCTATCATTTTATGCTCCAACAAGTTCAGTCACCGCTGGTAGTGCCGTTAAAAACTTCCAATTTTTTCCCAAATTCCAGGTCTTTGATCTTCATGAGTGCCCAATACTTCATACAGATCTATATCGCGGATTTGGGGGTCTGAATGGAGTACGACACAGGCTGCTTGGAGTGTGATGTTTTCTTAGAGCTGGATGTTTGATGAATGTTGACTCCGTTTGTAACCTGAGGGTTATACATCTGCATAGTATTAAAACTTAAATAGAACATTTCACCAACTTAAATATGAAATGCTTGCAATGAATTTTGTTTTGTCCCTTATACCAACACTCTTGCATTTTTGTTTGTTTGGCCTTTCTATGAAACTTTTAATAATATCTAATTCAAAATTATGTGGAATCCTTTCTGACACTGCTGAAAGTTGCTAACAGTATTGGAAGTTTACCTTCTCCTTGGCTGGAAGGTATCCAAATACAAATTTGTTTCAACAAATGTTCAGAACCATCTGTTGTATGTAGATGGCTGTGAGTAGAAGCCAGTTTGAGGACACTTAATTACAATAGCAATTAAACAACTATTTCTGTTTTTTCCTAGAGCTGATCAGTGTCTTATATGCTCCTTAAATTCAGAATTTGCTTTAAATAGCCTCATTCTAAGACATTGAAGTTCTGACAGATAGTGGAGGGGTAACTGTTAATGTCATATGCTAAAACTTTATTCAATTATTAATTATTTTTTTCCTTTGTAAGGTGAATGCAAGCCCACAGTTCCTGATGACCAAATAGACAAGCTGCTGTTAGCAAACTGGGGACTTCCTAAAGCAGTACTGGAGACATACCACAGTTTTGGTGTAAAAAAGATGTTTGAATGGCAGGCAGAGTGCCTTTTGCTTGGACAAGTCCTGGAAGGAAAGAATTTAGTTTATTCAGGTATTCAGATCTGTGCAATTTAATTGCAGTACTATTTTAAGACATTCATGAGTGTAAAAGATATTATTGAGAGGGTATGCATTTTTTTTAGGGTATGCATTTTTAAAAGTTCAAAGATCACTGATTTACAAAGTTTTAAAATATATCTCAAAGTAGAATCTCATACAGATTTAGTTTATGCTATCATATAATATTACTAGGGGGAAAAACCACACCTTAAGAGTGGGCATTTCTGTCTGCTGCTCCTCTCAAGAATTGTACGCCTCAGAGTTATTTAGTTGTTTTCTGGTACTACTGTAACAAAAATACTATTAAGTAGATTGCTTTTAAAACCTGAAATGAATTTTCTTAGTTTCTAACGTTAGGAGCTTGAACTCAGGGCATTGGTTTTAGAGGAAATCTTGCTAGATTTGTTCTAGTAGCAAGTCCTTGTCTCTTTTCCTTTTCTGTTCTATGGATCCTTGGAATCTCCAAGGTGACTTAGCATTTATCTCTCCCTGTTTCTACTGCTTAATCTGCCTCTAGACTGCAAATGAGACTGCTTTAAGATATACCTTACTAATACAGTTTCATTAACATAACAAACTCATTCTTAGATAAGATTATACAACAAAATGAGGCTAGGACTTAGTTCACATTTTTGGGAGACACAATTCAATCCAAAATACAGGGTGATATTTTACACACACACACACACACACACACACACACACGTATTTTCAAGGGAAAGTTTTGGCATGCATGATTTTTAACCTGTGCTTGTTACATTGACCTTAGAATAGAACCATTGGAGAAGATGTCTTTTCATTCAGATTTGCCTTTTCTGAGAATTAGGGAGTTGTATGAATACATTAACCCCTGCAGTATGTGGCCTTCTATTACTTAGCATCACATTTCCTGGGTTAACTCATGTTGTCTATAGCATGTATGAGTATTTGGTTTCTTTTTATGGCTAAGTAATGTACCATTACATGGATAAGCAAGGAGCTCTGGTGGCATAGTCAGTAAGGAGTTAAGCTACTAAGTTAAGGAGTTAAGCTACTAAGTCAAGTGCTAAGAAGGTACCTCTTTGGCAGTTCAGATCCACTGACTGCTCACTGTGTGAAAGGTGGACAGTTTCCTCCCTTGTGATTTACAGCCTCCAAAAACCTGAAACAGGGTCAGCTAGGAGTCAGTTACGATTCAGATTCAAGGAGGTTTTTTCTGAGATATGGTTAAATTACTTTTTGCCTAACAGTTCATTGATCCACAGTCAATGCACTTGGTACCAGCAGTCAGATCAGAAGTCGTATTGCACTGGGAGTGTTTAAAGTTAAAGACCTCTTAAATTATTGAGGAGCAGTGATATCAGTCTGAAGACTAAGGTTTGCTTGACTCAGGCCATAGTCTTTTTCAGTCACTTGCTTGCATGTGAAAGCTGAACAATGACTAAGGATGACAGAAGAATTATTGATGCCTTTGAACTATATAGTATTGGAGAGGAGTACTGAGTATCTCATGGCTGCCAAAAGAACAGATATGTTTTGGACTGCTTCACATGTTGCTAGGTGGGGCTATTCCTTGGAGAGAAATGTCATGCTTGGAAAGGTGAAGGGATGGCATAGGAGAAGAAGACCCCCAACCAAGTAGATTGACGCAGTGACTATAGCAGTGAGCTTAAGTGTGTCAGAGATTGTGAGGTTGGCACAGGACAAGGTTCAGATCTGTTTGTTCACAGGCTTGCTATGAGTCATACTTGACAACAACAAACATTTCATTGTATTGATGGATATTTAGGTTCTTTCCTTTTTCTAGCTGTAAAGAATAGTGTTGCTGTGAACATTTGTGAACAGGTTTTTGGAAAATGTTTGTTTCATTTCTCTTGTTTATATATCTAAGAATGGAATTGCTCAGTCACATGGAAACTTAAGAAAAAACTTAAGAAAAAAATAATTAATAATTGAATAAAGTTAATAACTTAAGAAACATGTTATCTTTTAGAGGAATGTCAATTATCTTTTGATTCTGGTTTGTTTGTTTGTTTGGGTTTTTTTTGTCTATTACTTTGTTTCCACCATTATCATCTTCTAAATTATGCCCTGTAACCAGTTTATTTACCTCTAGTTCTTCCTGGCTCCTGCAGCCAAAGTGATTTTTTGGAAAGTACAAATATGATCCTGTCACTTTTCTTCATAAAACTCATTTGTCATTCAGCATTGCCCTTAGGCTTGAAGGCATACTTATTATATGGTGAGATTATACAATCCTTCTTGGCTCTTTCCTAAATTTAGGAAATTGTGCTCCAGATTGAAGAAATTTAATTTCAAGTTATCTGAACTTGTCAGGCTTTGCTCCAGGCTTTTGGACACGCTAATTTAGTTCAGTCAACATTCACATTCTTCTTTTCTCCCTTCTTTACTGAGTTTTGTCCAATTTATGTAGCTTCTTCACAACTTCCCTATTTATTCTTTATCATTGCTTATATCATGATATATTAAGATCCGTATCCTTCCTTAAGGAGATGTAGGGATTTTAAAGAAAAGGTCTTTAGGTATAAGCTAATACTGTTGTTGTTGTTATGTGCTGTCGAGTCGTTTGCGACTCATAGCGACCCTATGTACAACAGCCCTAAACCCTGCTCTGTCCTGTGCCAGTCGCATTGCCTCTGACACACCCATCCCGATTACCCCAGTCACTGAATCAATCCACCTCATAGAGGATCTTCCCTTCCTGCGCTGTCCCTCTACCCTACCAAGCATGATGTCCCTCTCCAAGGACCTGTCTCTCCCTACAACATGTCCAAAGTATGTCAGATGAAGCCCCAGAATCCTTGCCTCCAAGGAGTAGCCTGGTTTAACTCTGTAGGATGGATCTGTTTGTTTCCTTGGCAGTCCATGGAACATTCAATACTCTTCTCCAGCACCACAGCTCAAAGGCGTCAATTCTCCTTCTATCCTCCCTAGTCATTGTCCAACTTTCTGATGCGTAACAAGTGATTGCAAAAACCATGGCCTGTATCAGGCACACCTCCGTCTCCAGAGAGACACCGTTGCTCTTGAGTACTTTAGAGAGGTCCCTAAAAGCAGACTTTCCCATCACAATACGTTTTTTATTTCCTGGCTGCTGGTGCCAAGAGTGTTGACCATGGAGCCGAGCAAACTGAAGCTGTGAACAATCTCAATCTCTTCACCATCCATCCTGATGCTACCAATTGGTCCAGTGGTGAGAATCTTTGTCTTCTTGACATTGAGCCTCAGTCCATACTGAAGGGTGCAGTCCTTGACCCTCTGCAGTAAGTGCATGAGGTCCTCCTCAGTTTCAGCAAGCAGGGTTGTGTCATCTGCATAACGCAGTCTGTTGATAGATCTTCCACCAATCCTAATGCCACGCTTCTCCTCATAGAGCCCAGCTTCCCGGATAATCTGCTCTGCATATAGGTTGAAAAGGTATGGAGATAGGACACATCCCTGGCATACACCCTTCCCAATTTTGAACCATTCAGTGTTGCCCTGCTCTGTTCTGACGACTGCCTCTTGGTCCAAGTATAGGTTTCGCATTAGCACGATTAAATGTTCTGGGATTCCCATTCTTCTCAGAGTCAGCCACAGTTTGTTATGATCCACACAGTCAAATGCCTTTGCATAGTCAATGAAACACAGATAGACATTCCTCTGGTATTCTCTGCTTTCAGCTAAAATCCATATAACATCAGCTACAATATCCCTAGTACCACAACCCCTTCTAAACCCAGCCTGGACTTCTGGCAGTTCTCTGTTGATGTCCTGTTCCTGTCGTTTTTGGATAATCTTCAGTAGAATCTTGCTTGCTACACATTGTTTTTTACTAAAATAAAGGTTGATTTAACAATTCTCTTTTCGATATGTGACTGTTTAGGAAGTTGAGGTAAATGTCCAAATGCTAGTTGAGACATTAGTGCTAAATTAATGTTAGGGTTTAGAGCTATTGAGTAGTGGCTTAGAACATTTATTAATGCAGTGTACCAAATATTACTTTTTTGTGACAACTTTTTGAAATAATCCTGCTTTAGCTCCTACAAGTGCTGGGAAGACTCTTGTTGCTGAGTTGCTTCTTTTGAAACGAGTTTTGGAAATGAAGAAGAAAGCCTTGTTTATTCTGCCTTTTGTCTCGGTTGCTAAAGAGAAGAAATACTACCTCCAGGTAATGCTCTTGTGCTTGAAATCGTGCAAGGCTTGCTATTCAAAATTGACTTTCCTCATTTGAATAGAATTGCAGATGTAAGTGAAAGAAAAAAAACCCCATATTTTATTACCCAACAGTTTTCAAAGTTGTTAATTTTGGAGAGAACTCTTATAGGAGAAAAGGCCAGAAAATTAAAAGAATATTACTAAAAATTGTATAAAAACTTGGAATCTTTTCCTTAGGAACTAAACAGAACAATACAATTAACATGTAAATGTGCAAAGTAAGAGTCAACTTTTTATAGATTAGTAACCCTGGAATAAAAGGTGGAGAGGAAAGCATGTCTAAGGAAGCAAATCCCATGTCAGTTGATGACTTAGTGGGAACATTTAGGGGATGAAGAACAGGAACTGGTGTTGCAAAGGTACAACTTTAGGCCTGTGATCTGTCCATGTGTTCTTCTGTAAAAACGAGTGATAATAATTAAGGTTGCATAGTGGAATGTACTTGCGGCAGCGGGAGGGGTGTGGGGGGATTGTCCCAGGGAGGAAGTCTTTCTTTTACTTTGGAAAGAGAGGAGCAAACTGGGGGTGTGGGGTAGGGCTGAGCGGCGAGAGAAGTGCAGCAATGAATGAATGGAAATCCAAAATATCTGTAAATGCTCATTAAAATGATTTTAAAAAAGCTTAAGAAGAAAAAAAATGAGTGATAAATGAGTTTAAAATTGTGCAAGTTGGTTTCAAAGGCATTTTCACAGGTACATTATTCCATTAAACAAAACAAGTTTTCCACTGTAATTTCTGTAGTAAAAAACTGTGTTGTTGGAATGGAAAGGTTATTGTATTGGAAGTTACAGAAATGTGACTTCTAGTCCTAGTTTTGTCACTCTGCTTTTGGGTCAGGCATTTAACTGCCTGGACTTTTTTTCATCTTGTAATATGAGAATATTAACCTGAGAACTGTGTGTTAACTTAATAAACATCCAGGGAAAATGTATTAAATGAACAACTCTAAAATGCTGTTGTCTGTTTAAACAGTTATTTCAGAGGCTAATAGCCAGCAAAGCTGGCCCCATATGGTATCCTCTCAGCTTAGATCTAAAGTAACAAATCAATGAAAGGATCCTTTTTAAAAAAAATTTCGTTATTTTTTGTGTGTGTACCGTCGAATCAGATCTGACTGGTACAGGAGGATACTGTCCCTCCTTTTCCAGCAGAGAATCTGGTGGATTCGAACCGCACACCTCTGGGATTACAGTGCAGCTTCTAACCACTAGGCCATCAGAGCTCCCTGAAAGGATCCTTTTTATTGAAAAAGTATGTTAGTTAAAAGTTAAGCTAAAAACTTAATGTCACAGTCCCGCTGTATTTGACTGTTAAAGCTTTTCTTCTATTACATAGATCTTTAGTGGAGTAGTGAGAATGGTTTCCTCAAAAAGTAAGAAATTTATTTATTTCTTAAAGTACACTTTGACATCATAGAACTAGTTTTTTGCTTGTATCTTAGATCAAAGTTATTATGCCTAAATTAATTTTTATGCATGTTCTTTAAATAACTTTCAGAACTGTTTTGATTATGAAGTGCTGCTATTAAAATACTATATTTTTCTTTTTTACTTTGTCTTAGCAGGAGATCTCTCTTGAGTTTTGTGAATTCTAAATTTCATCTTTTAAATGTAGAAATATAAAAAAAGAAGTAGTAGGTCCCATCCAGGGGTAACTGACAATACACTGGTAAATGTCCTTAGATACTCTTGCTTGTATTTTGAGGTAGAACCAATTTGTGCTTTAAGTTACAATTCATACACTTCAAACGATTTTTACATGTACTATTCCTTTTTATACCATTCAGAACCTGTTTCAGGAAATAGGAATAAAAGTAGATGGATATATGGGCAGTACCTCTCCGACTGGGCCTTTTTCTTCTGTGGATATTGCAGTCTGCACAATTGAGAGAGCCAATGGTCTGATCAATCGCCTCATGGGGGAAAATAAGATGGATCTCTTAGGTAAGACAGATAAAAATGAAGTAAATACTTTCAAGTACTACTTTTGATGGACCAGCAGGGAGCTGTTGCGATTTCTATGCATTCCCAGTTTTTCTTTTGCTTGCCGTCTACTTCTGGAAGCAAGAATCTGTAATGCCACCCGCTGCTGCCCAATCAATTCCAACTCATAGTGATCCTCTGTTGGGTTTTGGAGACTGTAAACCTTTATGGGAAGAGACTGTCCCTTTTTTCTGCTGTCAAGTGACTGCTGGGTTTGAACAGCCAAACTTTCACGTACATATCATTTTTATGTTATATCATTTATATATTATATCCCGCACCAGGCCACCAGAGCTCCTTTGTAATGTTAGAACTTTGTAAAATGAAAAGATTTGTTGTTATTGCCTACCTTGCCTTGCTTTCTTTTATGCTTTTTAAAATGTCCTTTTTTATAACCTTGAGTTGTTTATTTCTTATTTCTTAGTTAAACTTTACCAGGAATAAAGGAAGCATGTGGGAACAGAATTTACTCCTTAGGCCTATCTTTAATATACAGTGTCTCTGTGTGTTTATTCTCTTATTCTCATGCTGTCATGTTAAGATTAGGCCTGAAGCCATGTGCTACCCATTCACTGGGGATATGAGTTCCTGTACATTCTATTTAAGTTTGTGACTCTAGGAGGGTTTTCCATCTTATTTACTTACTTGTTTATTTCTTTTAACCACTGTGAATGGCCTGCCATGTGGAGAGAGCAACAGGGATAGATTAGCAGAAGCCACAGTTATCAGTTAGCTACTGCATTTAAAATACGCATGGTAAAGTTGGGATTAAAATTGGGGATCAGAGCATAAGAACACATGGTCTTTTATTATTAAAAACGTTCTAGAAACTTGTAGTGAGAAATGTTATGCATCATTTTTCAAGGGAATTCTCTTTATTATTTGTGTCTTCCCTTGATCTCTAAATTTTTTGTTCAATATTGAGAATAAATTTTAAGTGTCAAACCCAGTGCACCTTGCACAGTGTCTGCCTGGCACATTGTTGTGTACTCTTCAGTTGGAACCCACTCCTAGGTGACCCTCCACTGGGTTTTCAGAGGCAGTTAATTACATGGTAGAAGATTGCCCATCTTTCTTCTGGGGAGCAGCTGGTGGCTTTGAACCACATACCTTTGCACTGGCAGCATAATTCCGTACCACCAAGCCATCAGAGCTCCCTGCCTGCCATATTAGATAGGACTAAATATTTCTGGATGAATGAATAGAGTTAAATCACGTCATCAGCTTACTGATGAGGAAAAGGAGCATTTTGTGTCCAAAGAAAAGAGTCTGAAAGATCTTTATTTCGTTGTTTAGAATTTGTTGGCAAGACACCAGTGCACTGGCAGGGCTAATGAAGGGAAATATTTAATAAAGACATTGGTTGTTATTAAATTTTTGCATTGAATGACCAATTCTCCAAGCAGTGGAGAAGGGACATTATGATTCTACTTATTCTTTGAAGTAGGATAACTCACTAGCCTATTGTGATCAAACAAAACAAATGCCTTAAAATAACTTTTTCCTTAATCTTATTTTCTTAATCTGTGTTTCTAAGCAACTTGTTAACATAAGAATGGAACATCTCTCCCCATTTCCCTACAGAATAGTTAATGTCCTGAACAACTGACTTCTACAAGATTGTCAATTTAGTGGTAAGAAGCAGGCTGCAATTCCAAAGGCATGCGTTTTGAATCTACCAGCTGCTCTATGGGAGAAGGATGGGCAGTCTCCTCCCATTTGATTTACTGCCTCTGAAAACCTGCTGGAGGGTCAGCTTTGGGTTGTTTCCGACTCAGCAGGCACACAACAACAAGAGGAACAAACATCGTCCTTGGAAAAGTGGAGAGTCAGGAAAAGAGAGGAATAGATTGACACAGTGACTGTATCAATGAGCTCGAGTATATCAGAGGATGGCCCTGGATAGGGCAAGGTTTGGATCAGTTGTCCATAGGGTCACTATGAGTCATAATTGACTCAGTACAATCTAACAAGAACAGTAATGCCGCAAGGTAACTTTTGGAGAGCTCTGGTGGCCTAGTGGTAAGGAATTGTGCTGCCATCCTGAAGGCAAGTGGTTTGAAACCACAAGCTTCTCTGCAGAAGAAAGATGGTGAAGAAAGATGCAGAGGAAAGCTCTTATGTAGCTTACTTGCTGCTTCTGAAAACACCGAGGAATCAGAGCAGTAAGTTGGCTCTAACTTAAAGGTACTTAACAAATAACTTGCAGGGGGCCCTGTTGGTAGTCCACGGGGAGTTGTGCTGGTATCTCAAAGGCCATGCCTCTCTGCTGGTTCAAATCACCAGCTGTTCTACTGGACGAAGATAGGCAACCTCCTCCTGTGCGATTTACAGCCCTGGAAAACCTGCTTGAGGGTCAGCTCTGTGTTGGCTCCAACTTGAAGACAATGAGTTTCTGAGTTTAAGTAACTTCTAAGTCAGTTTTCCCTGGGCTTGGGTTGACCTGAGTAATCAAATAACCACTCTTTATATCCAGGATATACTTGTAATAGTACTATCTATGACATTTGAAATATTTGGAGGGAAAAAAAAATATGTGCTTTGTGTGGAATCTGGTTTTTATTTCATGCTTAGAATTAATATCACCTACAGTAGAGTGAATGACTGCTATTAACGATATATAAGATAAAATACTGAGTCTTTTAAAACTTCTCCTAACTTTGAAATTTTGTATATTTTGTATCTGGAAAATCCTTTCAGGAATGGTGGTTGTGGATGAATTGCATATGCTGGGAGACGCCCACCGAGGGTATCTACTGGAACTTTTGCTGACCAAGGTTTGCTATCTTACTCAGAAGCTGGCATCCTGGTGAGTACTTGAAATAACTGAGGTTTTGAAATTACAATGTTGAGAAAGTATCACATAAGTGCATTATAAGTAGTTAAATTAAAGCAAGAGAATAGTGCTTTCCTTATATGTTATTTTAAAAATTAAATTGTTTCTATGTGCTATTAGCTGGGAACCTGGGCTAGATGAGGAGAAATGTGGCATCAGGATTGGAAGAAGACTCATTATCAACCTGCATTATGCAGATGACACCTGCTTGCTGAAACTTAGGAGAACCTGAAGTGCTTGCTGCAGAAGGTCAAGGACTGCAGCCTTCAATATAGGTTGAAGCTCAACATAAGGAAAACAAAGATTCCTTTCCACTGGGCTGATTGGCAGCATCATGATAGATGAAGAGATTGAGATTATTAACGGCTTTAGTTTGCTGGCTCCACAATCAACACTCTTGCTACCAGCAGCAAGGAAATGAAAAGACAAATTGCACTGGAAAAGTCTGCTGTCAGAGACCTCGCCAAAGTACTAAAAAGGACAACGATGTCATTCTGGAGACTAATGTTCACCTGATCCAGGCCATAGTCTTTGCAATTACTTGCCATGTATCAGAGAGCTGGACAATGACTAGGGATGATAGAAAGAGAATTGATACCTTTGAGCTGTGGTGTTGGAGAAGAGTATTGAATATACCATGGACTGCCAGGAGAACAAACATGTTCGTCCTAGAGAGGGTGAGACCAGGCTGCTTCTTGGAGGCAAGGATTCTGAAGTTTTGTCTCACATACTTTGAACATGTTACAAGGAGGGACCAGTCCTTGGAGAAGGACGTCATGCTTAGAGGGTGGAGAGACAGTGCAAGAGAGAAAGACCCTCGATGAGAAGGATTGATTCAGTGACTGGGGTAATGTGGGGGTAGGAGTGTCAGAGACAATAAGATTGCCACAGGATAGAGTTACTACAAGAGTCACGGGTGACTTGACGGCATGTAACAACAACCTATTGAATCAGAACTGACTCATTGCTGACCGTCCACGGTGTTTTCAGATACTGTTACATTTCATAGGAGTTGATTGTTCATCTTTCGGGTGGATTTGAACCATATGCCTTTGGGTTGGCAGCACACCTCCTTACCACTAGGCCCCTGTCATTTAAGTAGTCAAGGCAAATTTTGAAAACCTTCATTTCTTTGGACCCCACTTCCCAGAGGTGACAACTTTTAACTTTTTATATTTTTTAATTTACAGCTTTATCTGTAAATGCAGCTATGTGAGTTCTTAGTTTTAGATCTTATCTATTGGCTTCTTATTATGAAAGACGAAAAGCTAGCACTATTTGTATTCTTTCTGCACTTTTTTGTTTTCTTTACTGATACTCCTTCCCCGTAGTGGTCCCGACAGCCTCTCTAGAATTCTCTCATCGCCATTTCATTATTCAGATATGTTAATTTCACCTTTTTGCATAATGTGACAGTGTTGTGCTATTAAACCAGTTGCCATCAATTCTAACTCATGATAACCTCATGTTTGTAAGCATAGAACTTTGCACCATGGGATTTTCAGTGGGTGATTTTTCAGCAGTAGATCACCACACCTTTTATTCTCTCAATGGACTTAAACCACCAGTGTTTCACTTACTCGTTTTACACTCTTAGAGCTGTATAAATACCATTGTCAACCAAACTATGTAGTGTGTTATGGTTACTTTTCAAAATAATTTTTTTCTGATATCAACAAACATGTTTCTGTTTGATAGCTTAGTTTTCTGTGGATTTCTCACTCATTTCCCCCTAGCCTTTTATTTAGTTGTATACATTGACACTACTGTATTTCAGTATATTTACTCTTCTTCCAGTTACATCATATTAAAGAGCTATCTCCTATAGCCCTTTGAGTTGCTCCAGTCTGATAGGGTAATCTGCATACAGGCCAGATAGCAGTCATCTTAATAGCTCCCTTTATCATCATCATGCTCATTGTCTTTTGCTTACTGTATAAAATATTGTATTGAGTCTTTTTAAAATCTCTCAGAACTAAAGTTCCTCTTTATAAATTATGTGTGTTTTTCTTGGTTAACCTCCTTATTTTTGTAATAATATTTTGTGAACTTCAAGAGAAAAGGAATATGAGTTTATATATATTTTTGAGGCCTTGTTTGTCTGAAAATGTTATCTATTTTGTTCATATACTTCTTGGTAATGAAGTCAAGATTGGAGATACATATTAATCAGAGTGGCAGTGGCATTATTTCATTGTCTTCTGGTTTCCATTATTCAGAAATCCAATGCCATGCTGATTTTTCATTCCTTGTACAAATATTTTTATTCTCTGTAGAAGATTTTACTCATTGTTCCTAGCATTTTAAAATGTACTGTTAAAAATTACTATTGTTGTCTTTTGTTGTTAATCTCTTTCCATTTATTTTGATGAGTACTCATTAGCAATTTTTAGTCTGAAAACTCTTGGCTTTCAGTTTGGTGAGATTTTTAACTGTACCAGTATGTGATAGAATACGTAGATAACCATCTATGTCATAAATCAATAGGTACAGAGAAGATCTGACTTAATAAAATCAACAAATTTAAACTAATGATTCTATTTAGAACAGCATACCAAATGACACGGGAGTTTATGTTCTTTTTAGGAACACTTAGGAAAAAAATTACCATATGCTGGTCCAGAAAGCAAGCTTTAACATATTTCAGAGACTCAAGTGGTTTAATGTATATATCTAACAGAAGTGAACCTAAACTAGAAAAAGTATAGGAAAAGCATGCTTCTGATCTATTTTTGAGTCATAAACTTTCTTGACTATAGAAATTAGAAATTTCATCACATTAGAAATTAGCAAATAGTACTAACTTAAGGTATAATGGATATTTTACAAAGTAGAAGGGAAATAATAGTAACAAGAACCCCAAAAAAGTAATAAAATGGAAAATTCATTATCTAAGACAAATCGTTGAGAAAGCAAACAATACAGATTATCAGTGGGAAAGATTTGATTAAGCATTTACATGAGAGTATCCAATTGGCCCATAAATAGGAAATAGTACTGAATCTCATTCATAATCAAGGAAAAATTTTTAAGGAAATGCTACCACGCATGCTCCATAATGTTGAAACTGACTTAGCTGACCTTCCAGTAGGTTTTCAGAGGTTGTAAATCACAACCTGCATTATGCAGATGACACAGTCTTGCTTGCTGTAAGTGAGGAGGATTTGAAAACTTTGCTGCAGGAGATCAAACAGTACAAACTTCGGTATGGATTACATCTCCACATAAAGAAGACAGAACTCCTCACCACTGAACCAATAGTCAATATCATGATAGATGAATAAAAGATTGATGTTGTCAATGATTTCATCTTACTTATTAGGTAAGAAGTCAGAAGACGTGTTGCATTGGGAATGTTGGCCATCAAGGACTTCTGACTAAGGAACAATAAAGTCAGCTTAAAGACCAAAGTGTGCTTGATTCAAGCCATGATCTTTTCAATCACTTGTTATGTATTTGAGAGCTGTACAATGAGTAAGGATGACAGAAAAAGAATTGATGCCTTTGTATTGTGGTGTGGAGCAAAGTACTGAATACCCGATGGACTGCCAAAAGAGCAAACGGTTACGTCTTGGAGAAACTGTAGCCAGAGTGCTCTTTGGGGGCAAAGATGATGAAGTTTTGTCTCACATATTTTGGGCATGTTGTTAGGAGATGCTATTCCTTGAACAGGAACATCATGCTTGAATATGTGGAGGGTCATTGAAGGAGAGGAAGACCCTCAACCAGATGGACTGACCTGGTGACTATAGCAATTGGCTCAAGTATGTCAGAATTGATGAGGATGGTTCAGGATAGGACAGGGGTTATATCTGACCTTCATATTGGAGTCCTATTTGAATAAATTTTAACCATAGTTTATTGTGATCTACAAGTCAAATGCTTTTACATGGTTGATAAAACACAAAGAGACATTCTTTCGGTATTCTCTGCTTTCTCTAAGTAGTACTCTATTCAGTGGTATTAACAACCACAACAAATCACATGGGAGGAGAGGAAGGGATTCCCCATGTTTTCTCCTTGTGTTTTAAATAGCAGAGAGTGGTGACCTGCACTTCCACGGATTACACCACCAGAACTCCCTGTCTAACATTAAAGAGGTTAACAATTCTAAGTATTGGAAAGGATGTTGAGCGTTGTTGATGATATATGCCATCGAGACAAGCACAGCTCACGGTGACCCTGTGAACAACAGATCTGAACCCTGTCTTATTCTATGCCATCCTCATCATCTCTGACATACTCAAGCCCATTGATGCTGTTATTGTCATTCCATCTCATTGAGGGTCTTCCATTTTTGTTTGTTTGTTTGTTTGTTTGTTTTGTTTTGCTGACCCTCCACTTTTCAGGAATGATGTCTCTTTCCAATGAATAGCTCTCCTTTCCTAACAACATGCCCAAAGTATATGAGTACTTTACCCTCCTTTTTGCCATTGTTGCCTCCATGGAGCACTCGGACCACACTTTCTCCAGGACATATTTGTTTTGTCTTTTGGCAGTCCGTGGAATATTTAGTACTCTTCACTACTACAACACAAAGGCACCAATTCTTCTGTCATCCCTTATTTAATTGCTCTGCTTCCAGATGCATAGCAAGTAATTGAAAAAGGTTCGAAATAGGTGCACTTTAGTCTTTAAAATGATATCACTGCTCCTTAGTATTTTGGAAAGGTTTCTGACAACTGACTTTCTTTGATTTCTAGTGCAAGAGTCTTGATTGTGGAACCAAGTAAGACAGAATTGTTAACAATTTCAATCTTTTCTCCTTCTGTGATGGTGTTGCTTATTGGCCCAGTGGTAAGGATTTTTGTCTTGATGTTGGGATGTACTCCATATTGAAGACTTTAGTCTTTTATCATCTGTAGCACATGTTTCAAGTCCTCCTCACTTTCAGCAAGCAAAGTTGTGCCATCTGCATAATTAGCTGATTCTTCTTCTAATCGTGATGCCACATTTTTCTTCATAATGTCAGGCTTCTCGAATTATTTGCTCAGCATACAGATTGAATAGATATGGGAAATGATATATCCCTGATGCACTCTTTTTTCAGTTTTAAACCATTCAATGTTCCCTTTCTCTGCTAGGATAATAGAGTCTTAGTCTAGGCTTCATATGAGTATAATTGAAATATCCTATTCTTCTTGATGTTAACCCTAATTTATTATGATCCACACAATCAAATGCTTTAACATAGTTAATAAAACACAGGTATTTTTCTGGTATTCTCTCCTTTCAGTAAAGATCCATCTGACATAAGCAGTGATAGCCCTGATGCCACTCCTCTTCTAAACCCAGATTCTGATAGTTTTCTGTCAGTGTACCATTTGAGCCATTTTTGGATAATCTTCAGCAGTATTTTGCTTACATGTGATATTAATGATATTACTTGATGATTTCCATATTCTATTGGATCACCTTTTCTTGGGATGGGAACAAATATGAATCTTTTCTAAACAGTTGGCCAGGTAACTGTCATCCAAATTTCCTGTTGAGCAAGTCCAGGCCTGCATCTCTTAGTTGAAACCCACCAATTGATAGTCCATTAATTCATAGGACCTTATTTTTTGCCAATGCCTTCAGTTAGCTTGAAATTCTTTCTTAATTACCATTGCCTCTTGTCCATATACTACTTCTTAAAGTACTAATCTTGACCAATTATTTTTAGTGCAATGACTATGTATTCCCTCCATCTTCTTTTGATGGTTCCTGTATCATTTATGATTATGCCCAGAGCATCTTTCAGTATTGCAACTTGAGGCTTGAATTTGTTTTTAACTTCTTTCAGCTTGAGAAATGCCAATTAAGTTCCCCCCCTTTTTTCTCTGACTCCAGTTTTCTGTATATTCTTTTATAATGCTTTGCTTTGTTTTCTCGAGCTGTTCATCTGTTTTTCTTTTGCATCTCTTCCCTTTTTTTTGGCTTCCTGACGTTCTAGTGCAATTTTCAGTTCCTTCTAACATCTATTTTGGTCTTTTCTTTTTCCTCTGCTTATTTAATGACCTTTTACTCTCTTCATCAGTATATTCTTGATGTTCTCTCACAATTCATCTGACCTTCTGTCATTTGTATTCAACACCTGAAACCTATCATGAGATGATTTTTTAAAAATTCTGTTCAGAGTACTAAAGTAGTAATACAATTCTTGTGGACTTGTTTTAGTTTTTTTCACCTTCAATTTGAACTTGCACATGAACAATTGATAGTCTGTTCTACAGTTAGTGCCTGACCTGGTATTGACTGCTGATATTGAGCTTCTCTCGTGATTCTTTCCACAAATGTAGTCAATCTGATTATTTTTTTTTAAATTTTATTATTTTTGTGTGAGTGTACCGTCAAATCAGATCTGACTGGTACAGGAGGAGATTGTCCCTCCTTCCCCAGCAGAGCATCTGGTGGATTTGAACCGTGCGCCTCTGGGACAATCTGATTCTTTTGAGGTCCATGTGTATAGTTGCTGCGCTGCAGAATGTCGGTTGTCGGTACAGTCTATGTGGGAAGTAGTTTGTCATTATCTTCTAAAATTGATGATAATTATAATTTATGATCTAGTCATTTAATTTCTAGTATATAACCCCAAAGGAAAAAAACCTGTATGTATGTACCAAAGGCTATACTGAAGAAAATTACTAGCAGTGGTATTTGTAGTGTGGTCTTTTTACATTAATTTAATTTACTTTTCATAGCCAGCCAGATTTAGCCGGTCCTCATTCTAATGCTGTGCAGATTGTTGGCATGAGTGCTACGCTCCCTAATTTGAAGTGTGTGGCCTCCTGGTTGAATGCTGAGCTCTATCACACTGACTTTCGCCCTGTACCACTTTTGGAAGCAGTAAAAATTGGAAATTCCGTCTATGACTCTTCAATGAAACGTGTAAGAGATTTTCAGCCCATGCTACAAGTGAAGGTAAATAATATTTTTATTTTCTTTCACTGGGGAAAGATTTTCTTATAGTTTAGTTTATGTTAAGTGTTAATGTGAAAGACTAACCTTTTGGTGATTGCTTGTATAATATATCAGAAACTCAAAACTCAACACTGTTGAGTTGGAACCAACTCATAGGTGACCCTCCACCTAGTTTTCAGAGGCTCTAAATCATGGGAAAAGATTGCCTGTCTTGTTCAAATGGAGCAGCTGTTGGATTTCAACCATCACCCTTGAGTTTGCTGCACAACCTGCTACCCACTAGGCTATCAGTTTTGAAGTTGGATCTCTCTCAGATACTTAATCCAGATACTTGATATGCTGTGTTATTAGTTGAATACCTTTCTGAACCTTGCATCTTCATGTACTAAGATAGATAATATTTTTAGAATAGGTCTAAGAATGCAGTACTGTTATTGTTGTTACGTGCTGTCGAGTCACCTGAGACTCTTAGTGACCCTATGTACAACAGCCCTAAACCCTGCTCTATCCTGTGCCAATCTTACTGTCTCTGATACACCTATGCCCATTACCCCAGTCACTGAATTAATTCAACTCATCCAGGTCTTCCTCTCCTGCACTGTCCCTCCACCCTTCCAAGCATGACAGCCCTCTCCAATGACTGATCCCTCCTTGAAGCTTATCCAAAGTATGTTAGATGAAGTTTCAGAAGGCAGTATAATTTTTAAAAAAAAAATTCTAGAACTATGATGAAATCAAATTAAGTATTGGACAGCCAACAGAAAGGTCAATAGTTGTACCCTGTCCTATAGGGTCTCTGAGAGTCAGAATCTACTTGACAGCCGTAATTTAGGTGTTGATTTTGCTTTAGCATCTAGAAGGAACTTTATAAATAATCATTCTCTTCTTCCCAACTCCTAAATATACATAAAAGTTTTCGCTGACAGAATTTTCTTTTCCTCTCCTACGCCTAATTCTTCAGCCCTAAGTTTAAAGAACTAAATACTGTGTATCTGTGAAATGAGACATCTCCTGTTTTTATTTAGATTTGTTTTTTCTCTCATTTGTACTGTCATCATAGATTTTAGTGTCATATATGTGCTATGAATTCATATTATATAGTCCTGTTTCCTATAGGCAATGTTTTTCTTTTGGATCAAAGGCCACAAACTTTTTCTGTAAAGGATTAGATAAATATTTAAGTTTTGCTGATCATACAGCTACTAGTGCATTTTTAATCACCTTTGTGGTTGTAGAGTAAAAGTAGACACAGAAAATGCAGAAATTAATTCTAACAGAATTTTATTTACTGACTCTGAAATTTGAGTTGAATATGCATGAGCTATTATTATTCCTTTGATTTATTTGTTTTCCCTTTCAGCTGTTTAAAAATGACTCATTATATGGGAAGAAGTGATAAACTAGATTTAACCTGCAGATCACATTTACCAATCTCTTGGTAAAACTGTTAACAATAATAGTTTTTTTAACCTTCGTGTATGTAATTTTCCAGTCCTTTCATTTCTTTTACACAGCCAAGTTCCTGTTTGTGTCATATTATTTCTACCTGAAGAATTACCACTTTAAAGATACCACTCCATTGTATTTTGGCTCGCATAGTTTCTGAGAAGTTTGTTTAAATTTTACTCTTTTGCTTGAGCTAATGTATCATTCCTCTGACTTCCTGTAATATTTTCTCTTCATCCTTGGTTTTCAGCAGTTTGGCTATAAAGTCTAAGTGCATATGTGTGAGAGATGTTTAATATTTTTTTCCTGCTTAATTTTTTTTGGATTCTTGGACCTGTAGTTTGCTGTCTTTTATTACTTTTGGCAAATTCTTAGGCATTATCTCTTTGTATTTGTTGTGCCTTGTTCTTTGTTGAAATTATAATTATAGATCTATTAGAATGTTTGACAATGTCCCACAGTTCTTACAGCTCTTAAAAGATACTCTGAAATTAATAACAAATTTAAATTAAAAAAAAAGAATTAAGTTAGAGTAGGGATGGCAATGGAACCATCTTACCTCTGTAACTTGATTTGTGCCACTATTAGAACCTCTACTCAGAATATTATTGCTTTTCAATTTTTGACTCATGCACTTTTAACTTGTTAGTTAAATTTGTATCTTCTAGGCTGGAACACTTCCATGATACATCTTCAAAGATATGAACATGTACGGCTAAGCACAATTGATAACAGTGCATCTAAATTCCAAAATCAATCTCCATAATAGTCTATGTGTTTCCTACTGCCAAAGGGGCCCTTTAGAGTAGTGAGAGAAGACCTTCACCCTGAAACCCCCAGCGTCCCTTTTCAGCAGGAAGTAGCTAAGAGAATATGCCATCCCCTTTTCCTTATGAATCAGGGTGCAGTCTCTCTCAGGGAGGAGTGATAGGGAATGGCAAGGGACACACTGACAAAGGAGATTAATCAGAACTGGCTTTGACAAGCACTGTGGCAATTGGACAATTAAAACAGACATTGGGGTGGGGGAAGAAGAACGAACTGGGGATGAGGGTGGAGGAAACAGTGCAACAATGAATGAATGAAAACCCAAAATCTCTGTAAAGGTTCATTAAAACTAATAAAATTTAATAATAATAATAATAATAATAAAAGATACTCTGTTCTGTTCTTACTCCATTTTTTCTCCTTGCCTTCATTTCTGTTTTAGGCTTGGTGATTTGTCTTGAGCTTTATTTCAAAGTCACTGATTTGTTTTCCCCTTGGCTTTGCTGATTCTCTAGGTGGTTTTATAGGTTGAGTCACATCTGGTAGTTGTTGAAGATTGGTGCTTGATATAGTGCCCATGGCGTGGGCCCTTCCTTCTTGTGGGCTGTCCAGCTGCCAGGCCAAGGTGCCCCTTTTCTGTCACTGTTCCTTGGCAGAGCTGCTGATATATACTTTTCATTTAATAGCTGAGTACTTATTATTGCAGGACTCTTTCCCCTTCCTCTCAGGCCTTTCTGTTTGGCCTCTTCTCTATTTCTTTTGTGTGTTAAGATTCTCTCACCTCAGATTTTCTTTTTCTGGATTTCTTTGTCCCTTTGTGAACCTCCTGTATGAGTGAATAGCCCCCGATTCACGCATCTTTAGGCTTTTACTCAAATGTTGCTTTGTCAGAATTTATCTGACTATCCCATCTAAGACCTCTGGTAAGGAATTGAGTTGCCAAACCAAAGGCATGCAATGAAGTATCAGCTGCTCCTCGGCAGAAAGATGGACAATCTCCTGTGCAATTTACAGCCTCTGAAAACCTGCTGGAGGGTCAGCTATGAGTTCTTTCAGACTTGATGGCACGCAACACAGCAACCTTATCTAAATTACAATGCTTTCCTATTACTGGTCTCTATTTCCTTTTCCATCTTTATTCTTCTCGCTAGTAATCTTTTTAAAGATTTGAATGAAAGTTTACAAAGCAAATTTGTTTACCATTCAACCACTGATATACATTTTGCTTTTTAACATTAATTACTTTTGGACACGTTGCTAGGAGAGGCTATTCCGTGGAGAGGGACATGATGCTTGGAAAGGCGGAGTGATGGCTGAAAGGAAGACCCTCAACCAGGTCGATTGATACAGTACCTGCGGCAAAGGGCTTGAGGGTGTCAGAGGTGGTGAGGATGGCACAGGATAGACAGTTCAAATCTGTTTTTCATAGGGTTGCTATGAATCCTACTCAACTTGATACCACATAACAGCAACATCAACAGCAATGTAGTCACCCTTTTCTCATAACCTCCCTAGAATTATCATTTTCATTAATCATTCTGTCCTGCCCTTCCTTGCCTTCTGTGCTTTGCCTTTGGGTAAATGCTGCTTTTCTCACCTTCTGTGATTTGCTTTTCTCTGGAGTTAGTGCCTCTCTAATAGTTTTGTTTGCTTTGTAGACCTGTCTGTTGTTTGGTAGAAAGTTGAGTCCTTCATAATTTTTAAAAATCGTATTTTTGTTGTTGTTGTTAAGTGCTGTTGAGTCTCTTGAAACTCATGACAACCCTTTGAACAACAACTCTGAACCCTGCTCTATCCTGTGCCATCCTCATCATCTCTGGCATAGCCACTCCCATTATCCTTGTAGTCACTGAATTGATCCATCCCATCCGTGGTCTTCCTCTCTTGCGCTCTCTTCCTCTCCACCCTGCTGAGCATGATGCCCCTCTCCAAGGAGCAGTTCCTCCTGCAACATGCCTGAAGTATATCAGACAGAGCTTCAGAATTATTGCAGCCTGTTTCAAGGAGCACTCCGGCTTCACCCTCTCCAGGACAAACCTGTTTGTTCTCCTAGCAGTCTGTGGTCTATTCAACACTCTTCTCCAACACCACAGCGCAAAGGCATCAATTCTTTTATCATCCTTAGTCATTGTCCAGCTTTCTGATGCATAGCACATAATTGCAAAGACTGTGGCCTCGATCAGGTACACCTTAGTCTCCAGGCTGACATCATTGCTCTTCAGTACTCTGGAAAAGTCCCTTACAGCATCAGTTTATCTTTTGATTTCCTGGCTGCTGTGCTTCATTTACCTTTTTTTTTTTTAAATTGTGTATCTCCTCCTATGAAGCAGCCCTCGTGGCACAGGGAAAAGCACTAGGCTGTTACCCAAAAGGTTGGTGATTTGAATCTCTCAGTGGAGCTGTGGGAGAAAGATGAGTCAGTCTATTCTGGACAAAGTTGCAGCCCTGGAAACTTGTTGGGGGATTCTCCTCTGTACTAAAGTGTCACTGTGAGTTGGCATTGAATTGACAATGGGTCTTGGTATTTCATCCTTCTAGAAGACAAGGCAATAAAGGGGCAGTTTTTGTTTCTGCTCTGTTTGTTGTTATATTCCTAGGTCCTAGCACATATAAAAAAGAAAAACAAACCACATCTATAAAACAAAAGAAATTCAAAACAGAAACATCCCCAATGAATAGATAGAAGAATCATGACTCAGTCTACTTGCAAACCTAATTACAAACTGATGTTCCAGGTTCCAGACCTCTTGAGGCCACCACCATCATAGGACCTGCATAATTGCTGGTTGTTTTGTTTGTTTGTTTGTTTGTTTATTTATTTTTATTTATTTTTTTTAAAAAAATTTTCTTTTTTTTATTTTTGACTTTAAATCCACTTGAATCTCAGTTATAT